TCTTTCCCTTCTTTGAAATTAGGTGACTGCCATGTTACAGGCATTTGCCCAAAGGATAAGCCAGAAGTAGACTATTTTATTAGATTTCTTCTTAACTTGCATTAATGCTTAATGATAGCTGGTCCATACCCCCTGCGCCAGAGAATGTCCACTTACTAATGTTTTTATATATTCGAATTTCCCCCCTTTAGTAGGATTTTGTGGGGGTTGTGAAAAGTAACTCAGAACCTGTTGTAGTCTAGAGAGAATAAAAAGGAGGAAAGTGTTATTAAGAAGGGAAGTAGAGGAATAGCAGAGATTATTGTGCATGGTGTCTGAAGTAGACTAACTCAAAGGGTCTCAATTCAGCTAAGCACTTCAAGCACATTAACATCAATGAAATGTGGAGTGTATGCTTTTCTTTAAGGAGGGAGTCATGCCAATTTTAAATACTTTAATAAAAGTATAACTTTGCCAAGACAGAGTGCCAAAGTTATATACTAAAAGAAATCATTGCTCTTCTTCTTCAGTTTGTTTTAGATTGGAGTGATGGTTATTTGTTAAATTGCATGCTCATGCTACCAGAGGGATCTGACTTTTTTAATTTTAGAGGTGAAAGAAGAGGAAGAAATGTTGTCCGCTGGGTTGGCTGTGAAAAGGCAATTACCTTAGTTTCAATTAGATCTAGTCTACCCTGTTCACTAGAGTTCTTTCCCCCCCCCCGCATTTTCACTTGGATATTACAACAGCTGCCTCCTTTTTTTTCCTCTTTCCTCTTCTTTTTTGTACCATTGGTGCTCAAATTGTAAACGAAAGAATGTGGGGGAGGCAGCATAAGAAATTCATACTCCATTCTGACACTTTTTTAAAGAGGTTAGAATCAAACTTCTTTATTTAAGCTTCCTGGAGTTCTGAAGGCATAATATATGCTGGATTGAAATTTAATTTCATTCCACTTTCTCGTGACTGTATAGGTAATAACTTTCTCTCTGAGATCTGGGTCAGAGGCCACAGCGGGCAGCTACAGTGCAACTGGCATCCTCCTTTTTAAGAGACAAAATATGTTTATGGTTTACTGCTCTGCATGAAAACAGTTTGTTCCCACTGAACAAGATAAAAACAGGGGTTTGATAATTCTTGCAGTCCTTGAAACAAGGGAATTCAGTTACCCAAAACAGATCTTTTATGCTAGAAATTCTAACATTAAATGCTGAGGCCTGATTCTTTTTCCATTTACACTGGTGTAAGTCAAGCAACTCTAATGAAGCAAAGAGTATTCTCTTCTTGTTTTCTAATGGAGTTGCTCCTGACTTGCAGCATTGCAATTAAGAATGAAATTATAGAAAATCATTATTTTGTTTTGCCTTCATTTTTGCTTTTATATTTGGGCTGCAGCATAGATGGTTTGAAACCTGCTGGATTTTGATCATAGCAGAGCTTGTGGGCATTTGAATACAGTCAGGCCAATTTCTAATCTACACTTCATAAAATTAAAGGTAGAATGTAAATTACTTTTAATGGTGGGGGAGGTGGGGTCAGTCATCAAAAGAATGAGAGAAGGTTATGATAGAATTGAGTCAGGCCAGATTTTTTGTTGCACTAAGGCCACTTATGTGCAGGCAGAGGAAAAGGGACCTGATCATGTTGTGCAAATGAAGCTTGCAAGTATGTTAAATATTCCTTTTCATTGCCAGACTGCTGAAAAGTGCTCTTGGTGTGGAGGAGAATTTGGCCTAATGGTGCCAAATTGTATGGCAAACTTAGGCCAAGGCTAAAATCATCATCCTCATTTTAATTTCTCCCTTTTTTATTTGTTCTGGTTTTATTTGTCTTACCTCCAGGAACACTGGAACTAGTAATAGGTCAGTTGTGGAATTTCAGTATTCTCATTTTCTCTTATAGGTGGAATCCTCCCAAGAAGCCAATGCAGATGTAATGAGAGAAATGACCAGAAAGCTATACAGTCAGTATGAACAAAAGCTAAAAGAAGAAGAACAGAAACACAAAGCTGAGAGAGAGATTCTAATAGTATGTATAACCAGTCCTTAACAGTGCTCTCTGGTTATTGCTTAGAATCCTAAATTAATTTAAGAAACAAGTGCTAGAACTGATGTCTTACACTTATCACACCAGTTTCATTTCCTTTCATGCCTTGTCACAGCCAGATTTTTTTTTTAACATTACCATGGCTAATGAAGAAAAGTCTAAATGTGGTGGATATTAAAAATAATGTAAACTTCAAAATTAAAGTGAAAAACACAAAACAGGTGTGTTTCTAGTTTTGATCCAAGAAAATGCAAATCCCAATCTGATTTTTTGGGAAACCTAGAAAAGAAAAAATGAACAATTTTATAGATACATGCTTAAATAACTTGAGCAGATAAATGCTTGTTTTCTTCAGCAGAACTTGCTATGATCATGTTATTTTGGATATTTCTAGATCAGTAACAACAAAGTTCAGAACATAAAAAGTGCCTACTAAGATAGACCAGTGGTCCATCTAACCAGTGTGCTGTGTCTGATAGTGGCAGGGGTGGATTCTGTGGAGAGCATTGAAGCAGATGTATCTGGAGTGATCTATTCATTATCCTCCCTAGCATCTACCATTGTTGGTTTAGAGAGGACAGAGGAAACATCTCCAACTCTCCTGTTCAACAACTCTTAACAAATGTCTTGCCCTTGAATTTGTCTAGCTATTAATAAATCTATCATCCATGAATGCATCTAAAACGGATGGGCAAAATGAGGCCCACAGGCCAGATGTGGCCTGCCAACTGATTTGGATCCAGCCTGTGGCTGGGCCTGTGGTGCACTGCATGGGGCTGAGTCCTCCCCATGCCTGTGCCCCCCGACGGCCGTGGCCAGTGTGCACAACTTCCTTACAGGGCTGCTCCTGGTGCAGCTGCCTGGGTACTGCTCTGTTCTCCCTACCTCCAGTGGCTCCCTCCCATGATCCTTCTGCCCCTGCCACACCACTGCAGGCAGCAGGTAGTGTGGGGCAGCGATAGCAGGCATGGGAACATGTACTGGATAACATGCAGCTAGGGGACTCCTACCCCAGTGTGTGGAGATCCAGCTCCTGGCTGCCTCCCAGGTGGGTTCTTGTATACATCCCCCTGGGAGCACAGTACTGACTATGCTAGGTGGAAGCAGGTGGGGCTTAGCCCCATGTGGAGTGCTGTGGGGGCAACTGTGGGCCAAATGGGGTTGGGAGATGGACTGCACCTGTGCTGCACCCCCTGAGCAAGCTGTGCACATGCCCCCTGCCCCTTTCCTCCCATTGCCCACCTCTGGCTGGCACCTGGGACCTAGCACATGGGCAGCCCCCCATACCCACCCCTATGCCCTCCTTCCCCCACAATATATAGGAGTAAGGCTTTATTTTGAGCTATTATTCAATTATATGGGCAGAGAGATGTGGGGGAGGAGGGGAGATAGACATAGAATTAAGCATCGCAGCCTTTGGTGAACAAACGTGTCTGGAATAGCATGCTGTCTTCTCATTACTGAGCATGCAAATACAGGAATCCACTAACAGGATAATATGCCTTAGATGTCTAAACAATTTTTAAAAGCTTGCTGCTAACAAGTCCTACAATCCATATTAAAGTAACTGTGCTTTTACAGGCCCAATAAAAGTCATTGTCACAGGTGCAAATGCTGCTGGTCTCTTTGGCATGCGGATCTGAGGCATTACTGAACCTAATTTAAAAAAAAAAAAACAAAAAAGGACCTCACTGTATAGCAGAGAAATTGGCTCCCTATCATTCATTCAGCTAAATCAGGATTTGTCAACCAGGGGTACGCATACCCCTGGGTGTACTTGGACTGGTCCTAGGGAGTATGTGCGGGTGGGCAGAGACGGAGTGCCACCGCCGCCCAGGAGCAGGGCTGGGGTAGGGCGAGGGCAGTGGTGCCCTCTGCAGGGCGGGGAAGCTCTCACATCCCCGCTGCTGCTGTCACACGAGCCCAGTGAGCTTCCCTGCCCCGCACAGGGGCGCCGCTGCCTTCACCCCAGCCCAGTGAATTTCCCCACCCCGGCCCGGCCCAGTTCCTGGGAGGTGGCGGCGCTCCATCCCTGCCTGCCCGCATGCCATCGCTGCTCCCCTGCTTAACGTCTGGCCACCGGGGGTACTTAGGCTAAAAAAAGTTGAAAACTCCTGAGCTATATTGTTGTTTGTGGATATGAATGTCTGTCTGTTTATTTGAAGGCAGAAACAAATCGGCTTCTGAAGGCTATTGAAGAGGCAAATAAGAAGATGCAGATTACGGAGATAAGTATACAAGAAAAAGACCAAAGGATTGGAGAGTTGGATAGGTTCATCCAGCGCATGGAAGAGGTAACTCTCCCCTTGCTAACTGTTAAACTGACAGTCAGTTTTTATGCTCTTCATAGAGGAAATACAGGAGTTGCATGGGAGTGTTCTTGTTTGGTCCCTTGCTGCTTAACAGCCTCGCCTACCCAGGGCCTCTGTTCCTCCTGCCACTTCTGTCATGGTCATCTTTGTAAAAATAAAAAAGCTTTATTGTATGTAATGTGTAGACTGCTATGGAGACATAATGCAAAGGTGACACCTTTTGCCACCAGTGCTGTTTGTAGTGGCTGTTACTTTGAGGGCTTCTTTGGAACTGAGAGAATAAATGAGTCATTTTTTTTTTTTTTTTTTTTTTTTTTTTTGAAGAGACAGTTTAAAAAAAAAATAGTTTATCCCCTAAGCGCTGGTACAAATTCTTTGGAGTTGTTTATGGTTGTCATGTTCATAAATTCACTTAAATATGTAGTTTGTGGTTGGCAAGTATATGCATATTAGAAATAAGCTTCATTTAGATGCATTGGGAATAAAGACTGTAACTGACATTGGTTTTATTTGGTATTGCATCTCCAACTTCCTAAACATCAGGATGAAATGCTCATTTCAGTACTTCAGGTTACAAGTTCTTTTGAAATGTTGTTTTCAGGCTTTGTGAGCATGTAACAGCCATTTCTACATGTCCACGTGTATAACTTGTTTATGTATCATTTCGCAAAATATCCTCATAGTAACATACACTTTCAGTTTTTACTGCCCTTTTAATTTAAAGTATGGCTCTTCCTCTCCTACTTGCACACTCATGCTTTTAAAAGTTTTTCTTCTTGGTTCAGATATTCTCTACCAAGCTGTAGTAGAGAGCAGGTGTTGTTGCGGGTTTTTTTGGGGTTTTTTTGTGTATGACCAATAACCCTTGGGACATAGAAATGCACTGAGATGTTTATTTTTCATGACATTAGTAGTGCTGTGTTAAAGCTAGTTGCAGCATTTTATGTCCTAACTTCCCTTCTTTTTTTGATGGGCTTTGCTCCAGGACAGAACTTGTACTGTTTTTCAGATGATAAATGTTCCAAAGTCAGTACTGCAGTCACTCTTCTCACATAGCTTAATTATTACCTAAACCTCCTCTCTTTGAAAATCCCTGGTCTCTGAAACAATCTGGATCCCCTAGTGTCTGTTAATTGTGTTGAAATTTCTTAGTTATACAAAATTATCAATAACGTGATCACATTCAGGTAGTTAAAGCTGCATTGTTTTTTGTTTAATATCGTTAGCGTGTTTGGCATTGCTTAGCATATGCAAATGAAAGTAATCCCTCCCAGAGAGTTTAGACCTGGCTCCTCAAAAGTATCTGGCATTGATTTACATAGGAGTTAAGAACATGCATACCTTCTGAGGGATTTTGACTCAGTTGTCTAAAACAGGGTTAGCAACCTTTTACCAATGGCATGCTTTCACTTGTGAATGGGTCACTACTGAGGATGGTGATTTCAGCCCTCTTTCTCCCCAGCACTAGCATCCCAGCACAGCACCAGCAGGGGTGTAACTGGTAAGAGGGTTGCATCCCAGAAGTTCTGGTCCCCTAATCAGCCTCACACCACTACTTTTTCTCTCCTCACTCAGCATCTCTCATAGGATTAAGGTGTGTGTAGCTGATGGGAACCAGGAATACTAGGACATGATCCCATTCCCATGAGTCGCCAGCTGCCCCAGAGGCTTTGGGAAATTGCTCCCCTTGCTCCCCATGGCCTTGAACTCTGCTGCCCTTACCCTTTCTCCAAGTGCTGCAGGTTGGATTGATCTCTTTATTTGTCAGGTCCAGTCTGCAGGCCATAGGTTCTGCAGACAAAACTGCAGAAGTTGGGATAATTTGGGGTTTTGTTACTTCAATTCATAAGTAACTCTCTGTTTTTATGAATTATACACTTGTGCTTTATCTTTGATTTAAATGCGTGATTAGTTTTTAACAGGCAGAACTTGTGAAACCAGGCAAATTTTGCAAACTAGGCTTTATTCCAAACCTTGGTTTAAATTGTGTGTGGTATGTTAATGCTTCCTTGGATAATGGAATGAAAGTACATTAATTAATTGTAATAATATATTATGTCTTTTTAAGGCTCTAAGATTTCTTAGTGCTGTAGCTTTATTTTTATTTCTCATCATTTGGTAATAATACAGGGTCTTCCTAAAGTCCTTGTGCACAACCTAAGTTATTAAAGTTTAAAAGTGCACAAGGACTTTAGGAAGACCCTGTATTTGATACATCACTTTGGTCCAGATTTGAAATATCTTTACTTCAGGTACTTTCACTCAGTGGACTTACTCTTGGTTATAGGGTATTATTCAGTGAATTAAAGCGTCTCAGTATGGTTCATAACTTTAGGAAGTATGTATTCTGGTTGTTTAGGTTGTGAAGCTAGAACTACATTTCTCCTGTAATCTGTGATAAGACATTTGGTTGATATTTACAGAGCCCAGTAGACGGCCCCTTCCTTTTCCCCATGAAACCATGGATCCCTGCCAGCATAATGGCTGACATTTGAAAAGCATGTGTAAGACTTCTTGGAGAAAAATAGGAAGATGTTTTACCTTTGCTGAAAAACTGTGGACTAGGGCTGCCATTTTGGAGAACATGAATATTCATATTAACAGCAAAAATTATATGGCTCATTTAATCTCTGCAGTCACCAATTTAAATCGAATAATCTCTGAATTTCTGATGATTTTTAATACATAATAATATCCCTTTATAACCTGCTGAAAATCCCATTTTTATTTTAGTGCCTGTTTGGGAATTCAGAGTTTTCTTTGTCCAAACTTTATTATTTACACCCTGTGCTTGGACACGGGAAATACCTGTCACCTATACTAAATAAGTAACATGTCGCAGAATCCTTTTCTATTTATTTTAGTGTACTGTGAACCTTTAATGATATTTTATGGTTACTGAGGTTTAAATTAAGCAAATGAAGAATAACGTTTTGGGGTTGGTTTTTTTTTGCTTAGGAACGCCACCAGCTACAAAAACAACTGGAACAACAAGAAATACAGATAGCTGGAGCAAAATCTGAAACTTGTTCTGATAGAGAGAGGTGAGATCCAACTATTTACCAATCTTTCTAGTGTTAAGAGGTTTTTTTCAAACTTGAATCTGGGTTTTGTATTAATACCGTAGAAGACCTTTACGATGCATTTATCTTATTTGTGAAGGATAACTGGAAAAAGTTTGCTTTTTTTTTTTTTTTTTTTTTTATAAAGAAAAAATAATTAATTTTTCTGAGAAGTCAATTACAGAGATGAATAATTATGGAAAGAATTCCATGTTGCTACAGAATACCAGTCTTTTAAATCAATATACCATATTTACTCAAATCTAAGATGAATTTTGTTTCCTCCTCCTCCCCCCAATTCAACGGGGAGGGTGGGGGTAGGAGGTCTTGACCTGGATTTGAGTACAAGGTAGAGGGGGAGGCAGGTGTCTGTTGTGGCTCTGACTCTGTTGAGTCTGGGTCCGGGCCAGAGCCAGAATTGCAGCATCTCCATATCCTTTCCTCAACCTGTGCTCTCTCTTTCCCCACACTGCTCATTGTCAGGGACAGCTCTGGCTCCAGTTCTATCCCCTCAGGCATGGAGTACATGTAGGCTTTGGCTCCTGTCTGGCCACACAGCAGCATCCTGGGGCTGGAGCTTCTGCTGCAATCGCTGAGCAGAGGCTGCAGGGGAGCAGGGGCAGAGAACTTCAGGAGTAGATAAGGGGCAGAGGCTGCAGCGGGGAGGGGGAAGAGACTGTGAGGAGTAGGAAGGGGCTGTGAGCAGGAAGCAGGGGTGCAGGCTGCAGCAGGGGACAAGTGGTGCGGATTGTC